TGCACAAGATCGTACTGAAACACAACAGAAATAAAAGTAAAAGATGAGAACACCATACAAGACGCTTTGCACAACCCACACAGCCTGAAGATGAATTATTCAAAGAGGAAGGTTTCACGGAGGATTTCAAACGGTTCAGTTTGCATTGAATGACTCTGTGTCGTCGGGTAAGGAGAGATCTTCCTGTTCACAGTGTCCTTGAGTCATTGAATTATTTAAATGAATACTTATAATAATACTCTATTTGTATAGCACTTTCAAATACAGGTAACAAAGTGCTTCACAGCAGACAATACAAGCAACAGCCAATACAATCAGATTACAAGAATAAAAGATTAAAAATAAAAAGTGAAATCACAGAGTTAAAGGGTTTTTTTTGTCTTTAGTAGAGAAATAAAACAAGGACTGACTCTGCAGGTCTGATCTCCTCTGGCAGGTTGTTCCACAGTCTGGGGCCTCTGACAGTAAAAGTCCTGTACCCCCTTCAGTCTTCAGGCTGGACCTGGGAATAGACAGCAGATCTCTACCAGAGGATCTTAGACTGAGTCCTGGTTCATAAGGGGTTAAAAGCTAAGCCATATAGGACGGGTACAGCCCATGTTGTGTCTTAAAAGTTATAAAAGATAATAATATAACACAGCACTGTGACTTTAGATTTATAACTGTCTTATAATGTTTTAACTTCTGTTTTAGACTTTTTTATTTCATCTTTTGTTGGCTTAAAATCCTGTTTAAAGTTAATCTCTAATGAAGTTTCTTTTGCCTTGTTGCTGAAATGTGTTGAATAAATTAACTTACCTAAATTAAAATAAAATCAATGAGAGAGATCTTTCATGATTTTATTTCAATTGTATTTTTTTAAAATTATTTTATCATTATTTTAACCGTATTTAAGGTCTTTAAAATATATTAATACATATATATATATTTTTAAGACTAAGCATCCAGGGTTTTTTTTAGAGCCAGGACAGTGGAGAGAGTTAGAAATTGGAGAGAGAGGGGAACCATATATGTTGGAGCCACAGGCCGGATTCAAACCCGGGTCTTCCACCTTAGAAGACCTCAGGATCTGCTTATCAGGGTGCACGCACCAACTTAAAAGACACCGTCGCCCTCCTACGACCTGATGATTTTATGACTTTATTTATGACTTTTCTTATTTTATTTTGCTGACTTTGTGAAGCACTTTGTGACATTTAAAAAAATTGCTATAAATAGAAAATAAAAGTCTTTATTTTTTCTCTGCTTTTATGACAGTTTAAAAACACATAAAAACGCCCGTTAAGGCCGAACCCTCATAACACAATGAGAAACATGTTCACAAAGCACAATCGGGTTTCCATTTTCTTTTCTTTTTTTAAGGTTCGGGCTTTTTACGTCTACACTTTAGAGATGACAGTGGACAGAGTCAGAAATCAGGGAGCGAGAGAGAGAGAGGGGAACGAGCCATAGGTTGGACTCGAACCCAGGCCGCCCACCCGGAGGACCCCAGCCTTCGTACATAGGGCCACTAGGCAACTGGCACCTCTGTTTCAATTTTTAAAGCTAGTTCATTTTATCTTGTTCGATTAAAAAAACAAAAAAATGCAGACCACCATAATAAACAAATAAATGCTGAACTCTCTTTTCAATCAGACTAAATATTCACATCAGCAAACTGCTGCGGATTTAACTTTTTAAATCTAATACATTTCATGTTCTCGGTTTAAAGCCACTCAAATATGCAAACCACAAAAATCAAAGAATAAATGTTTGACTCTTCTTTCAATCAGACAAAATATTCACCAGCACTCTCTCTCTCCTGTGTTCATTTTAAAATCGATTCCCTAACAACCCTAAAAAACTGAAAACCACAACGTTGAACTAATAAAGCTTTAATCTAACATGAGGTACGCTCTTTTCTGCCTGTTTTCTATTTACGTCTAAACCCATCTGACCAGAGATAATCGTTCAATCAATATTAAAAGCAGGAGTTTGATGAACGGCTTTCATAAAAAAACAATAAAGCAAAAACTTCAAGGGAATCTTCAAGTGGAAACATTCAGTGAACCGTATCGTCCTCGATGTGTCTCTTATCTCCAGCAGGGCGCAGGGCCCCGCTGCCAGCTGATTATTGATGAATAACGAGAACATTATGGATTATATTAAAAGCATTCCTGAAGGGTATAAACAGTCCAATCAGAGCCAGCAGAGGGACAGTGACAGCTACGACTCAGCCATGTGAGAATCCCATCATGCTCTGGGGTTCCTCCTGTGAAGCTGCCGAGGCTCACAGCGGGGAATCGGCACAGAAACAACAAGCTCCGTCCAATCTGTCTGACTGCACCCACATCTCCTGTAAACCATTTGTTTATAACCTCTGTCTCTATTGTGCTTTGAGGAGCCGAGCCCTTTCATGTGACAGATGGGTGGCACTTTTGAACACGTCATGTGGTCCTCCAGGAGTCTGCACCCAGAGCTGTTTCTTGTCCACGATGTCTCCAGCACTGCAGATAAACAAGAAGAATCACTGCCGTGGCTGTTTCTCTTTGAGCTGCAGGAGTGTAAATGTTTTCTACAGTTTGGGGTTAAAGCAGCCAAGAGAGGAGTGGATTCCAGGAACACAACTAATTAAGCACATAACATCGCTGTCATATCACCAGAGCATCGTAAATCTGAGCTAAATGAGCCGCTGCACTGTATGAAAAACAGCCCATACAACCAAACATACTTTAAAGGAAAAACACTCCCAAAGAATTATTTGTTTTGACCACTTCTGAAGAGATTTCAACATGGCAGAACATTTCCCCAAAGTCAGACACAGGGCAAACTATTTCTAAAGGTAATGGGCCCTCCTGATATCTTCACCGTTTGGTTCAAACGTACTGTGAGGAGTTAAAGAAACAGATTTAATTTGATACTAAAGTTTTTTAAACTAAAAAAATCAAATCAGATATAATCCTGAAAGACTGATTTTTTCCTTTAAAGCTCCTGTTGTTGTTTGTAGCTGGTTATGAAACAGACAGAAAGTAACATAGATACTTTTAATGAGCTACAAAAGACACCATTAGCATAAAGATTGAGTATTTCTATGTTGTTATTTTCAAGGCCAGAACCTCAGCCGTGGGGTCGGTTTAACAGCCGATGCTGTAACTGATTTTTAGTTTTTTTCACTTTTTTCTCAGAAAAGAGTCTCAATAAGTGATACAGTAGACTCCTAAAAGAAAGCAGGATGAGATTTTTTTTCTAGATAGGAAGTAGTGTTTTGGCCACAGCGGTGCCAAAATCGGCACAAACCAAAAGTTCCTCATATGAGCTTAAAGTTCATTTGAATTCCTTTTCTTCGCTTTCATCGTGATGGATTTCAAAGAAGTGATTAGAGCAAAGGCGCTGCTTGGGGCCCCAGGGCCAGGAGGGGGCCCCTGAGGGCTGATAACTACAGCAGTGACTCAAAATGTGCAAATTTTGCAATGACAGTAGGAAACCTCCCTAAAGGGGGGCCCCCTCTGACAGCACTCATTCATGGCCCTGCGAAGCGTTGCATGAAAACCGAAGTTTGTCAATGAAAGTCTCGTTTATTTCTGCCAGCGTTTAGACACTGGCAGAAATAATAGTGACGAAGACTAATTGGACGGGCCCCAGTGAATTTTAGCTAATGGTCCCAACAGACTTTATAATCACCCCTGGATTTGAGGCATTAAGAATGAAAGAGCCTTTGTTTTATTTTTTCCTGCCTAAATTTGACTGGTAAAAAAAGAATGGCTCAGTTGGTAGAGTCGTTGTCTCTTAAACTGAAGCTCCAGCAGCTTCATGTAAATGGTAAATGGACTTGAGCTTATATAGCGCTTTTCTAGTCTTCCGACTACTCAAAGCGCTTTTATACTGCATGTCACACCCACCCATTCATACCCTTTCACACACTGATGGTAGTGATCGCTATGTAGTATCATCCATCAGAAGTAACTAATCCCATTCATACACCGCCACTGAAGGAGCGGGAGCAAGGGTTAAGTGTCTTGCCCAAGGACACAACGGACATGTTGCTCAGCTGAGCCACAGCCGTCCCGGCTCATGTCTGATGTGTCCTTGGTCCTGCTGCTACGAATGCCTATGAATGGGATTAGTTACTTTGGATGGTCTCACACATAGCAGCCTCTACCATCAGTGTGTGAATGTGAAAAATTAACAGTTGCTACCTTATACATATTTAATATGGTAAATGGACTTGAGCTTGTATAGCACTTTTCTAGTCCTGTGACTACTCAAAATGCTTTCACACCACATATCACACCTACACATTCACACACTGATGGTAGAGGCTGCTGTGTGAAGTGACCATCAGAAGTAACTAATCCCATTCCTACACATTTATACGCTGCTGACAAAGCAGCGGGAGCAAGTTGTGATTATCTGTTTTGCCCAAGGACACATCGGACATGTGGCTGCAGGAGCTGGGGATCAAGACCCTGACCTTTCCGTTTAGAGGCGACTGACTCTACCAACTGAGCCACAGCCGCCCTCTATTTAATCTGTGAATGAATTCAAGCTTTTGCTGATCGAGCCAACATTGACTATGGTTCGCCATGTTTCTGTCCTATGACGTAGAGTCTTTTAAACAGACGAGTTGTGTACCACCATGTGCTGTCTCTTAATTTTCAGTTCATACCAACACCACGTGAATTTAAAGTAACATTGGTGGACAAGTGCAAGTTTGGAGTACCGGTAGCTAGGAAAGATATTCAGAATGAATAACAAATAAATGCTAGCTGATGGCACCAACCAAGCTAACGCTACAGCCTCAATAACAAGGCAAACCACTGCTTCTGTTTGTGCTCAATTAGTTGATCTCATTGGACATTTCTACCTGCAGCAAATGAAAAACAATAAAAAAAGACTCTAGGTTTAGTCTTGTAAATAAAGATTATTGCAGAATATTCTTGGCCAATACTGTCAGACTTTATTCTTGTAAAAGCCTTTGAAAGTGTCTTGTACAGTAGCACAAATTGGAAATTAAGACATGACATTATTGGATGATTTAATTGGTTGACCCATGTTAGATTTCTTTCATTGACAGAATTAGTGACTGAGTGAACACTGAAATGAAACTTCTGCCAACTCCTTGTCGTCCATTTGTTCATTAATGGATGTAGAGCAGCACTACCAGTCGTGAATTAGAAGATGTGTCTATTTTCTGGTTCGGGATTTGTTTTAGTATTTATTGTCAAGGAGCAGCTGCAGGATTTGTCGGGAGGTCATCACTGCAGTCCGCCTCTCTGCTCTTCTTCTGGTCATTCATCATTTAACACAACACTAGAATATATTGGAGACTTTTTCTTCCAGTGTCAGAGACGGCAGCAGTCACACAGGTCCTTCATCATGCTGGAGGAAGCCATATCACTCGATCTAAAGAGGTGTCGCTGAAGAGGAGCAAAAGGTGTCCGGGTCAGAGTGGGTCGAGGTGAACCATGTGGGTGGGTGATGACTTCAGTAGAGTTTGGGGCACTTTCATTCAATCACAGACGTCTAATGGCCACCACCAGTTCATGGTAAACATGAGGCGAAGAGCGATTACAAGGACAGGCACCAGCCGGACTGCAGGACTCGAAGTAATACAATAGATAAACTGTGCAGATACATCTGGTTCTTATGAATTCTAGCCCTTTAGATTGTGGTTTGGGTAGGCGTGAGAGCACAGGCATCCTTGTAAATGATTAAAGCTTGCTACTTTGAGGATTACAAAGCATTTTGAATTTCTTTGCTCAATGCTCTCTGAAACTGCTCCAGGACCAAATAAATGGAAGCCTTCACATTGGTCCAAAATGGGAGCTAAGCATTTGTTTTGAGTCATTTCAAATAATCAAGTGAAGAAGCAATGAAAAGAAATAAATTGTAATCACTGGTGATCAGATGATCTTTGAAAAAAAATGCTCATCGAAGACAGTCGATTATATTTCATGTAAAGTTTTAAATCAATAATGGAGTAAAAAAAGAAGTGTTGTCCAGACTTACAATCAAGTCAACATCTAAATAATTAAAACCCCACAAAAAAAGTCTGGTTGTACAAGGGGGATCTGAGATCTGGCCTGTGCTGCCAATTTTCCCTGAAATGGGACCTTGAAATAAAATCTGCTTAAGCCGCCTGTCTTCCCCCTCCAGAGTGCAGTTAAATCCTGGCTGTGTATGGACATGATTACAGAGTGCCACGGGTCTTACATCAGTGCAGAACCTTGACTTCCAGCAGGAAACCTGGAGCACGGTTCAATTATGGCAATACCTTGTTTTGCCTTAACGTGGAGGATGTGTTCTTCATGCTCAAACACAAAGGCTGCACCTGAGAATTCAACTCCAGCAGTGTCTACTTTTACTTTAAGAGTTTAAATAAATAAAACACGGCTTCAGGATGTATATGGCTCTCAGTGGAAAGTGATGTCGGTCTGCACACGGCTGCAGTGAGCCCTCTACACGCTGCTGCCGGTGGCCCACAGCGGAGACAGATCCGTTTGCTCAGCAGCTGAGCGGGGACGCGGAGATGCTCCTTTCACAGTGAGCTGAGCACCAACAATCAAGGCTTTGTCAGAGAGGCATCTGCTGTTATAGCTCACAGGAAGAGGACCTGTCTCTTTATAAAGTACAATCAGAGGGGATGTCAGAGTTAAAGATAAGGTGGCGTCATGTCAACAACCACAATGTTAGTTATAACAGTAACATCAAGCCCTGATTAAGCCCTATGTTTCATGAAGTTTAAAGGGTTTTTCACATGTAAATAGATAACCTTGTCAAAAAAAACGTCAAGTGAAATGGGATAGTGTCTGTAACTTGGATCTAAAAGGGACTAAAATAAACCCTAGCGTATTTCAGTATTAAAGCAAATAATTGACAAGAAAGACAGACACTGCCCGACAGCACACCCACAGACTTCACTTGTTCTTAGAAATTAAACATTAACCAAGCCACAATGCTAACAATGGAGCCTGAGAGCCACGATTTGCATCTGGCTCACATACCCAGCATTGCAGAGACCTAATACTGAGGACAAAACGCAATTGTCTAGTAAATATTTACCAAGTATTTAGAGATAACGCAGTGGTTATGTGGCCTTAGTAACCCTCCATCCAAGCCCACATCCTTGTTGACCAGTACGTGAATTATCAAAGAAATTCTCATACCCGGAGGGTGAACTGCCCATTTTCAGTCAGCAATCATTTACACCAGTAGCCCATAGTGCCAAGTCACATACTTTTATAGGAGAGCACCCTGTAAATTCCATGTAACGCCTAATAAAACCCTTTTTACAATAATTGATCTTCCTTGGTGATGCAAGATATTTGATTGAGGTTTCACTTGACAACTCGAAGGAATTTTGAAAAGCTTGTGAAATAGTTCAAATAGCAAGTAGCTCACACTCTCTACTAGCCATCTGCATCTTCATGTAGACATCATTTCTATAAATTACAATTCTCTGCAGGAATTATGATTCAACACTTGAGAGATTATATCTTACATAGTTAAGATCATCTTTACTGCAAAACTCTGTTATTATATATTTTATCATGTTCATCTGAGCATTACTGCACTACCCACCACTGTGCTGAGGTCTTTTTAGGTCTCATTATTCTTGATGCACGGTGCTGCAGTGGTTAGCGCTGTTGCCTTCAGTCACGAGGAGGTTCCTGGTTTGAATCCCTGTCAGACAGGGACTATCTGTGTGGAGTTCGCAAGTTCTCATACGGTTATTTGGAGACAATAAAATTGCCCCACAGGTGTGACTGTGGCTAGTTGACTGGCTAACAGACCAGGGTGTACCCCTTCTCTCGTCCAATGACAGCTGGAATTGGCTACAGTGTCATGCCAAATCGAAAAGATAAGGATAATGGTGTTTGTTTATATTTAATGTCATAATTTTTGTTCATGGTGAGCACAGTTCTCTGAAGCCAAATTTCTTGTAAGCAAATACCATATTCAATAAAGCTGATTCTGATAAGCCACTCAAGGCCAGTGGACTTTGTTCTTCCTTGTCTATTTCTTAATGCTATGATCACATTTTTAGTGTCCCACTTCTTTCTAGGTAGTTTCCTATGAAGGAATAATGGTGTTGTGATGCCACCCAGTGGCCATTTAGAGACCTGACAACTCATGAAAGACAGTTGTTCAACCAGCTTTGGAAGAGAAGGGGGTAAATGAACTCAACAGAAGTCAACATCTTGTTGGAGTTTTTTATTACTTTTTTGACAAATATATATGAAGGTTTTTTTTTCCTATCAAGGAAACATTCTTTCAAAGATACTTTTACAGCAAATTCATTCCTGCAAAGAGACAGGAAACATGGGAAATCATCAGAAGACATGATCGAACTAACAATTTCTATTTGTGCCCAGGAAAAGGTTAAGGGTGCGATTTCATGATTATAATAAAGTCATGACCGTAAAACAGAAGTCAGTCAACGCCAATGGGACACCTTTTCAACATCTGTGTCATCATGATACATGGGGTGAATTATTAGTTTTGCATCAAGGCACACAAGCATCGAGAACCGTCAGTGGAGCATTTCTTTTTTTTCCCAAGACATTGGTCCCATTGGGCAGTACAGCTGTACAAACTACAGAACAAAATAGCAAAATATAACATAGGGCTTGGTTTTAGGGATAACAGAAGAAAATCTCAAAGAATTTAGATCAATAATGTACACACAGATTGAGTGAGAGCTCAGGGTCTCAACAAAGATTGAGAAACATTAGCTCTTACACATGGAGGTGATGGCAACTCAAATAAATTTCTCAAACCTGCTAGGGATGACGGAAGACCTGCACCTCTCCTACAGAGGATGTAGCTCAGTGAGAGATCTGTTTTCCTGCTGTATAAACTCCTGCAAGCTTCTTCTTCCCTGCCTGAAGTTGCTCTCCCTCCTTGAAAACGGCAAGATGACCAGGAGTCTGAGGAGAGTCTCAATGTTACTAAAACTTCTGATCTGCGACGTCTTGAGCGTATCGAGCACGGTCGTTGGGAGATAACCTGCCAGGGGACCTAACCATTTCTCCTTCCAAGACTTCATCTCAGAGTGAAGGGAAGCATGATCGGGCAAGTCCTCTTTGTACAAGCGGAACACAAGACCACTAAGGATGCTGGTTTCTACTTTTGACATTGCATAAGGCACAATCTCCAGACACCTCAAGGTATCCAATACCTTCTCTGTGAAGAGGTCGTCTACTTCTGCTATAGAGTGCTCCACAACTTTCATGCTAACAGACTCTTTGTAAAACTCACTCAGTGGCTCTAGGAGCACTGAATGCAACATTGTCACATGAAGCTTGGTAGCCAGCACGATGGCTTCCTCAAACCAGGCCTTGTGATGGGTGTCTATATCGCTCTGAAGTTTACAGAGGGATGCTTTGAGATCAGGAAAATGATTCACAGCGTATAACATATCCAAGGGTTTGCCCTGAAGAGACTGACTGAGCTGTTTAGTCACACTTGAGACATTCTTTTGCACCACGGTTGATAGGATAAACTCAAAGTTTCTGATCGCATCAAAGAACTGTGAAGCTTTTTGCTGGTTTGAAGTGCTTCCCTCCACTTTCAGCTCGTTCAAACAGAGCATGACAGCCTCTAAAATCTCTACCATCACCTCGTGCATGTCGTGGCTCTTCTCCCAGTTTTTGATCAGTTTGTCCCTCAGCTCGTTGCCCCTACCTTCGTCGTGCTGGAACACGTGAATGATCATGTCTTCCAGTTTGTTCTGGCGTTCTACATCCTCTGTGAGCCAGTGTAACACTTCACCTATGAGAATGGCTCCATCTGCTGCGTCTTGAGCAGGAGAGGATCTAGCCAGCCATATGTTAAGAGACAAAGCGGAGTTCAGTGATCTTACAGCCTGGGGGTATTTCTGAGCCATGGCAGAACTTACAGCTTTCATCTGAGACCCTACCTCACCAAAACTTAACAACGCCTGCCCTCTACAGAACTCCATATTGAGCCCCCACTTCTGAGACAGGGCTGTCTCAATAGCATCTGTAAGGACAACCGGGTCTCCACCAAAAGGTATAAAAGCCAGTGTTTCCTCACACTGGGTGTCCTCTTTGTTTAGGTACCTAATGCACAATGGGATGTAGAGCTCACCATCAATATCAACAGCTTGTTCTGTTATGACTGTGAAGAACTGAGAGTCCCAGAGCTCCTTAAGCATTTGTTCACGCAGTTGTGGCTCATAGAAAGACATTGCCGTTCTTGGTCCTTGAGCAGCAACATCGACAGTCGGTTTCACGTCTCCATCTGTTGGATTCTCTGCTAGACTGGAGGCCTGCAATTCTGTCGATGCCTCTTGTGTTACTTCAACGCCTCCTAATTAGAAGAATAAAAATAGATTCTAAAGCCACACAGAAGAAAAACATCTGCAGCCAAATTACTGGTTATTAGTCATTTTAAACAACAATCTCTTGCACCCCCTTTAAGTCTGAGATTTTAACCATCAGTCCTAAAGAACCTACGTAGACTCACATTTGGACTAAAATAGCTAAAATCAAAATAACCATGCTCAAATGAATAGCATGCAACTGGTTTAATGTCTGACCATGCTGCTGTTGTTTTATAGCTTGAATTTATTGCTTTTCTTCTGTCATTGTATTATTAATGTACATTTTATTATGTCAGTTTTTCTCTCATTGTGTATTTCTATTACTATTTTTATTCTCATTATTATTTCCTCTTCTTTTTTAAGATTTTTGGGGGGCTTTTTCTGCCTTTTTGTGATCGAATCGGAAATTAAGGAGACAGAGAGTGGGGAATGATCCAGGCACGCGGGAAAGGAGCAACCGGTCGGATTTGAACCTGGGCCGCCTCCGCTTCGAGGACTACAGTCTCTGTACAGGGGGTGCGCGCCCTAACCACTCGGCCAACAGCACCCCCTAATTTATTTTTTATTTTATTTTCTCTCAAAGGACTCGTGCGTACAAGTGTGGAGAATTAGCATGTGTGCTAAAACAATCAATGCATCTGGTTCGTCCAATGTAATTGTGATGTCCATATCAATTAAACGTCCAGCTCTCTTCTATACTTGACCAAGTCTCAAACTCCAGCATTCACACCAGAAATGTCCCCTCTTCTCCAAAAACAGACCTAGTGGTTTAAACTGGTAATAACACGAAATAAAGAAGTTTAGGGTAAACTATCCGTTTCTAATATGTTGTTTGGTTGGCGAAGGATGTCAAGACGGTTTACATACTGAGCTTCCTACAACTTATTCTTAGGAGCTCATTTTGTTATAGGTAAGGATTTAGACCATTCAAAAAACTTGTTCAGAGAGCAGACTGAAATCCTTCCTTTATGTGGTTAAATACTTTAGGTAAAAACAACAGTGAACACTAAAAAAAAGTGTTCATCTAGAAATGCTTTCATATCTTGACGACAGTGCGTGCGCGAAAACTTCCTTTAAATGAATTGTACTGCTTGAAGAATTTAATCTCTGCTTTTGCTCATGATTTTTTTGACTCATCTGTTTTATTTAACTGTCTTTGTGAGCAGAAACACCTCTTACAGGTAATGCATGAGCCTAATGTGGGCTAATATAGGAGGTGTGGTGCATAATTAAAATGAATGTAAAAGCTTTGTATTGAACAACTAAATCATATTTGACAGACAAAATTGTGACTTAGGTACAACCCTTCTAGTATCAACAACATAGTTCTGTTATATGGTTACCATGAAGGCACTTACCACGAACCAACTTGAGTGTTTCCAAAGTTCCCATAACCTGCAAGATATATATGATTAGAATGGCTGTCAAAGTTTTATTGTACAAACTTATTTAAGAATAAATATTATATGAAAAAAGTCAGTAAGATTTACCTGGTAAAGGCATGGACTGCTCTCTGGATCCACAGCCGCACACTCTTCAACCACCTCGGGCAGTCTCTGCAGTGTTGTGCAGTGAGAGAGGAGCATCACATGATCCATTATGCTGCCTTTGCATACAGTGTTTTTCACGAGATCCCTCAGGGAGTTCAGAGTGGTCTTCATCAGGTCACACTCCATACTGACACTAGGCAGGACAGCCACTAGTCTGAGCAGTAAAGAAACAGTGGGGTGACTCTTTGACTCAGGGTGGTTAAGTGTTTCAGCGATGGAGGCCGGAAAAGCAACATCCTGGTACTTTTCACTCCAAACTGAAGCCCAGGCATTGATTTCCTGCTCTGCTGCTTCGGGCTCAGGAACGTCTGTAAGGTAGATGCTGAATGGTTTGTCTGTGGACTCCGACAGAACTGGCTGTGGATTACAAGAGGGCAGCAACGACAGGACCGAGAGGGCTTTTAAGTGGCCGTCTGAGAAGCTGTACTTCATTTCATTGATGAGACTTCTGAGAAGAGGAACACTCAGGTTTTCTCTGTAGTATATCTCTGGAGATTCATAGCTATTGGCTTCCTCCGAGAAGCACACCTGTTCAGGAGCTACCTTTGTTGCTAGCTGGAACGCCTGCTCAAACCAAGTGGAGTGCAGTGTGCTCACATTTTTTAACATTTTGTTTAGGGTCTCGATGATTGAGGGGATTTTTTCCACTTCACACAGGATATCAGCAGGGTTTCCACACCGGAAGACAGTGCTGCAGTTACGAAGAGGAGCACAAGCATTTTTTAAAATGACAAGGGTGACGATGAACTCAATATTTCTCAGAGCGGAAGAGAGAACTTGCGCATGCATTGACTTGACACCTGTTGTACTAGAGCTGACAGCATCCAGGCAGCTGAGGATGCCCTCGAATGTGTCAGCGAGTATGTCAAAGAAGTCCTCTCTCTTTTTCCACCTCGAGCAACACGTTTCTGGTATTTCCTCCAGTGCCTCTCTTGGCATATTCAAAAGGCCATCGACAGCCTGTGCAAGCTGCCCCTCAAGATGAGGAGACTCCTCAAAGAACAGCAGCAGGTCTTCTGTGATGGCCAACATTTCTGCTACTGAAGGGCAAGGCACACTTCCTGACAGCCAATGGGCAAGGCCGCAAGATTCACTGGGTGTCACGACAGAGAGCGGATAGCTCTTGAGGAAATCCAGAGACATTTTCTTCAGGCTTTGATAACCTGAGCCCAAGTGCATGAATGCTTGTCCACGACATTGAGACATCGGTAAGCCCCAGTCATCAGTGAGAATGTTTGCAAGTTTTTTTGCTTGGGTATCAACGTGACGGTTTTCATCAAATGGTAAGAAACCCATGAGCTCCACTTTGGGAGCAGATTCTCCAACATACCTGACAAAAACAGGCAGGTGTGTCTTGTCAGCAATTCGGACAGGTTTGTCAGTGATGAGTGAAAAGAATGGGGATTCTTGTATTTCTTTGAGGATGACATCTCTGATTCCATTTATGAGCAGATTCAACACCTCATCGTCACTTATAAATGTGCATTTGCTGTCACTTCCAAACCACTGGCACATGCTGAGCTCTTGACTGAAAAGCTCCCTGCTCTCTTCTGATAGGTCAGAGAGGTGGATATTCTTTTTCCCCAGTAGAGCAGCCTGTCTGAATACTGTCGCAATGCTTCGACGATTGTCTCCTGCATGGCCGTTCTCATCTGCTGGTTTCATGTCCTGGATCTCAGGATGGTCTATGGATTGTTGAATGTTAGGCTCCTCATATTCCACTTTGACAGAATCAACTAAATATATCAGGGAACAAAAAAAAAAAGAGGTTATGAAAACATCCAAATATTGTGATCATACTAATATTAAATACTTATGGACTTAGGGCGAGACACGGCAGGCTAAAACATCAATTTTTTATGTACTGGTCAATTTTGAGATTTTGGGCTAGATCACTCACTGAACATGTAATTCTTCAAACTACCATAAGAAAATATCCAAATTATACATTTATGTGTATATTTTAATACATTTTGTCTGATCGCGGCATTAGACTTCTCGTCAATTTTCCCGAAATTTAGCATTCTAATGCGACGTGCAGTATAGCGGCTGTTCTCTGCTGCCCGTCATGACTGATATCTCTGTAAAGCTCTCTCTCTCCTGCACAACACTATGTAACCCAAATAAGGACACTTCCTTTCTACCAGCAACCAATCGTGAAAGTTCAGAGAGGGGTTTAATGCTAAGAACGTAATCTCATTGGCTTGTGTTTGGTTTCTGATAACGTGATTCGTTCAGACTTCGACACTTCCTTGTTTATCTTTCCGCGGGACCTTTGAGGAATGAATGGAAATATCTTTGTGTAAATCAATGAAAAGAAAACAACAATTGTCACTTGCAAGGGGATGTAAAAGGAAAAGTTGTGATGCAAATGATCTCGGGAAGCGCTTCTGAACGTAAGAAAAGTGACACGCATGCCACACAGCAGTGGCTGCTTGATCACGTTGCGCGATTGAATGAGCTGCTTTGTGATTTAATTTGTCCGAATTGTGCCGGGTCAGGGATGAAAATAAATATAGATCCATAGAATCATGGGTTCTGTAGCAGTTTATTGCTTGAGTGCCGTGTGTGTGTGTGTGTGTGTGTGTGTGTGTGAGAGAGGGAGAGAGAGAGAGAGAGAGAGAGTACCGCAGGAGCGTGTAAACATACGCGACTTCAAGATGAGTCCAGGAAGGATGTCGCGGTGCTGAACTCCTATAAATAACAGAATTTTATATATATATATATATATATATATATAGCCTATATCTATCATCTTCTTACTGCTGATGCTGTGATGAACTCTTAGAAATAACGGAATATCGAGTGGAACTTTTCAAAACGGGAGGGGTCGTCGTTGTGTTTATGTCTGTGCGGGTTCGCAGACAAATTAAGTAGATTGAAGTTGTTTGATGTAAAAACTAAATTAATTTAGAGGGGAAAACACATTTGATATAAATACACAATACTAAAATATACCCTAAAATAAGTAAAAAAAAAAAAGACAGAATGTCTGTAAATACTCATTTCCAATTTATAGAATTTTACAATACGAATCTTTAATGTCTGTTTTCTCAAAATGAGTTTTTTCTCATACTCTGAGACAGAAATCTCCACTTCAGTAGCACTTGCATACACCAAACTTTCCAGTTTTATTCCTATCTGTATTCTGAAGGTATTTACAGAGGGGTTTGTTGATATATCATTCATAGCCTGATTTATATAACAGTTTCTTCATAAAAACATGGCGAAAATCGATTTTTCAAGTCTGTTGATAGTATTTTCTGATTTATGGAGTGATAAAAAGAGATATCCAAAATCCCCTCTGTAAATACCTGTGTCTTTAATATGTCAACAAAATGAAAAAATTATCTTGAACCTGGGTTTAGCCAATGTTCAGATTTCTCAGCTGGAAATGTATGCAAATTAACACATATTTAATTACATAATGCCTTATTTGCATATTTAAACATAACATTTCAGAAAACTTGTAATATTAAAAATTTGCCTTGATATAAGTAATAAACTGGAGAAGTTTCATGTTGATATCTGTGAGTTAATCTTTTTACCCTATTCACCTGTAGTGTCTCGCCTTAAGGTAAGTAATTCACTTTTTTTTTTTACAAGGTAATTGTTAATAAATCATATAAAGAGATCTCTTAAAAGCCATACCTTCCATATTATTTTCAGAATTCTTGTTTAAACTTTTCGATTCCTTGTCCTGTAAAAATATTCATGTATGCATTAGTCAGACATTCACATAGGCAATACAATCAGAAGTAATAAGAAATACAACACTTTTAAATCATAGTTCATGAAGGATAAGAACCTACCAGACAGATTCCCTCCAAAGCTTGTGGAGTAACATTCAAACACTGGGTCACCATGTGGTCTAGGTCTCTGCTGAAGTCAGTGCCCACCTGAAGCATAGCCAAACACAGGGACCTGTCTTTGGGATTTGTGGTTCTCAGGTACTCTTGAAACTTCTTGTGGCGCATTACGACACCACAGTCCTCCAGTGCTGTGCTGGGTAGCACCGACATTATCCTCAGCAGTGCATTGATGTTCCCAAAGTACTGCATGAGCGGCAGCCGCAATGTTTGGAATATGGAGGCTGGGATGGTCACAGAAGCAACTTTGGTCTTCCAGGTTACTCTCCAGCAGCACAACTCAGTGAAGAAGTTGTCCGCGTCAGGGAGATCCCTGCTGTAGAGAGGAGGCTTTGTCTTCAAGCTCTCGAACATGTAACTATTTGTGACCGAGCACGGAACGAGGGAGAGGAAGTTTAGAGCTTCTTTGTGGTCCTCTGAGAAATGATCCTTCACAGCATTGATAAGGTTGTCTACAAGGGGCACACTTAATGCATCTTTGTAAAAACCGACTGGCTTGATCATGCCGTCTTTTGGCATCGATTTTTCAGGCACTTCAATCTGCACTCTCAGGCTCTGTGCCATTGCACATGCTTCATCAAACCAGTTCTGGTGGAATACTTTCATGTTGGTTTTTACTCGATTCAGAGTGGACACAATGCCGTTGATTTGGCAAAGTTGAGATGCAGCACTGAAATGGTCCTTTTGAAGACCTGCACTCAGCTCTTTTGTAAAAGAGGATGCATTCTTGAGGATCACCATCGCTATGATGAAATCAAACTCCATCACTGTGTGGAGCAGCGCTCCAGCCTGTTCGGACACAAACGCTTTCCATCTTTGTGGGTTGTTTTTGATTTTCTCCAGACATTCAACTAGTGGCTCGAGCATCTGCACAAATGCCTCATAAGAATCATGCTTCTCTGGCCAAAGGTCACAGAACGTCCCCTGTAATTCTTGGACCTTTTCATAGCTCTCTCTCAGACCAAAGTCTATAACATGGTCTAGCTGTTTTTGTAGAATAGCACTGCTGCCAAAAAACATCATAACCTCTTCAAATGTATCCAGGGCTCTCTTAACAGCAGGCACTGGGATGGATTTTGACCACCATGTGTTAAAAGAGTAGGCAGAGCAGTGTGTGCTTATGGCAAGAGGATGCTTCTCCTGAACTTTGCAGGCAAACGCTTTCAGCTTGTAGGAAACATCACCGGAGCCTAGATATGCTTGTCCCCTACAGTTATTCAGATCGAGACCCCACTCGACTGTGATGATTTCATGGAGACGCTGTACCATGGTTTCACAATCAAGATCTGCCTCGAGGAATCCCATCAACTCCAATCGCATGACATCGAAACTGTCCACAAACCTGAGGAAAAGGGGCAGATAGTCTCTTCCCCCAAACTTCACCACACGGTCGATGAACAAAGAAAAGAATGAACTCCCAACTTCTGTAAGTATTCCCTCTCTGACAGCTTTTTCGCACACTGTGAGAACTTCTTTCATTTCAGACTTGGTCACATACTCGACTTCTCCATCCTGTGCAGAAGTGTCAGTATGTTGTCTGCTTTGACTGCTGTATGCAGACACCACTGCAGCCTGCAGAGCAGATTTAAGAGATTCTCTGTCAGTCTCTGCACATTTAATCTCCACAAGCCTTTCAGCATCCATCTCCAGGTTTATGCGTTGTAATTCTTCTTCAGTATCCTTTTCAGCATGGTTCCCATGGGATGCAACTGAATTGTTGAAACAGTCCATTATTAGTATAAACATGTATAATTCCACAATTAATTGAAACAAATTTACAAGAAAAACACTGCCGTCATTTAACTACATCACATTAAGGCGGAAACATAGATATTTGTTATGCTGGTATCTGTATTGGAAAAACTCTAAAATTTGCAAATTTGTTTTACAACTCAAGTCCAAAATGAAATTCCAATGTTTTTAAAAGAAATAAATAGGTCTGCTGCAAATCTTTGGGTCTAAATCTTTTTTTTTCCATTAACAACATTCCCATAGATTGTACATGTTGATTAAAAAAAAATCTAATTCTAGCATACTTAAATAGTAAGATAGATTGAAAAGTCATCTCACCTTGAGGAGGCTTCACCTTTCTGTTATCATCCTGTAAAACACAAATTATAAATGTACATCGCTTAATTTATTACTATATACAACTATTAAAACCTCAATAGCAACTGATTAAGAAAATCTACTCACCATTTGCAGCAGCTGTAAGATATCTGGATGCTTCTGAACATACGACTCAACCATTTGTTCAACATTGAAGTGCACATCTTGGTTAACGTACACATATGCCATGCTACACTGTCTTTGGTCCTCTGATGTGGCTGTCAAGTAAGCGTGGCACCGCTCAAGCACCATGTGGTATTGGCCATACACGTCTGCTTCTGCATTCACGCACGGAACGGTGCCCAATACTCTCAACAAGCTCTGCACATTGGGATAAAAGCCGATATCTGGAATCTTGAGTGTGGCAAACACTGTGGTTGGCAGGATCCTGCGCTTACTTGCATGCCTCCACTTCACTTCCCAACAACCGAGCTCTTCGTAGAACGTGTCTGGCCTTGCAAGGTTGTTTAAGTTAGCATCCGCTACTTTATCTCTGCGAATGCTGAAATTGTGGTCAGCCATGTAAGATGGCACGAGCGAGAGCCATCGGAGAATCCTCACCATCTCTGTGCTGAACACTCTTTTAACCTCTGCGACAAGATACTGAAGGATAGGTCGGCCCAGAGTTTCTCTGTAGAGGTCCTCCAGAGGGGTTTCAGCTGTGTCTGCTGCCTGGTCCATCTCTGGTTTTGTCACCTCCACTCCCAGCTTCTTTGCTCTACCCACTGCGTCTGAAAACCATTTCCTGTTCAATATTGCAAGCTCCTGTTGGTATTTGCTTACCAGCTTTAAGGCATTGGAGATTGTGTACTGCAAGGTACTGCTGATGCTAATTATTCCCCTGAGACTTGAGTTAAGTATGCTCACACAACAGAGGGTGTTCTTCAGAACAACAAGGGTCATGATGAAATTGAAATTCTTCAAAATTGGCTTGAGCTTAGCCATCTGTTGAGCTGTATCCTCATCTACCTTTGAAATCATCTCATTGATGCAGTTCAGGAATGGCTCCAGGATTTCTAACATGGTCTGAAAGGCATCAGTTCCATATTCCCAGTTCTCACTAAGAGCTCCCTTTATCCTGTCTACTTCCCCTTTTATGTGCCCATATGTCATCTGGATATTTCCCTCCAATCTTTTGTACAACTCTGGTGCTCCTCTGAGTAACACGGCCACCTCCTCTACAGTGTCTGCCACTTTCTGGATGGAGGGCACAGGCATGCAGCGGATAATCCATATGTTGAAGGCATATGGGTCACTTGGTGACAGAACTACCTGTGGAAACTCCTGCAAAATCCTGCAGGTTAGGTCTCGCATCTTCTGACACATGCTGCCTGTAACCAGATATGTCAATCCCCTGCAGTGCTCCATCCTCAGCCCCCACTTGTTCCTCAGCTCTGACAGAAGCATATAAAACAGATTTTCTGTGTCCATGTCGCATGGTAAGAAACCGATGAGGTGCTTCTGTGGAAAGCCATCTACCGTGACAGACCTGACGAAAATTGGAATCTGATCCTTTCCTTCTATACTTGTCACATCCTGAAGCAGAATGGAAAAAAATCGAGCCTGTCTGAGGCTGTTCTGGATCTCCTCCCGCATGAGGTCTTCACTAAACTGGAGGATTTCTTTCTTGTCAATCTTCTCCTCACAGATAGGATTAAGAGCCTGTTGACCTCTTGGCTCATCAGATTTGTTGTTTGCACCGCTGATGCTGAATCCAGTCAGTGCCAGGATTTCTTTGAAATACACTTTTAGAGTCTCTTTTGCTTTAAAGCTGGCTACATCCTCTAGGGTTTGGTCTTCTTTCTGCAACTCATGCGTCGCACTATTCTCTCCAGAGACCACCCTCGTCTCCGCAGTCACTTCTGATGTTTCTGTGTTTTCTGAGTGGAAATAAAAATGATTGAAAAGTTGAGCGGATTCTTATAACTACTAATTAAATCAGATGATCAATATTTATTATAAGTGCTAAAACATTTTAACAGTGGTTACAACTTAAGAGGATTACATTTTTTTTAAATTTCTATCAGTTTTTGATCAAAACTTAAGTCACATTGTTTGAGAGGTGGGTTTGACCTAATGGCCAAGACATTTAAGTACTTGAAGGGTTTAAAAAAGTGGCTTTATTAATGATTAACACTATTTAACACAGCTATTAAATGTAACTAGATCTTTCAAGATGAATTGGAACAAGTTTACGTACCTTTTGTTTTCTTCACAGAAGTAGCTTCCTCTTCAGACTAGGCAGATGGAAAGCATAATTACAGGTTAACATTTTTATTTTTTTATTGTCTGATGATAAATGCTGAAAAGTCATTCAGAAACTCACAGGATCATGGGCTCGCTTCCTGTTGCAAGCTGATTGATTATTCACAGGCGCTGTGAAGTCAAATTTGGTAGGAACAGCATCGTCCTGTAACACACTACTGAGCCGCTCTGAAAAGCAAAAGGCCGGAGAACAGAAATGTATTATTTTCAGCAATAATATATGAAATACTGACTATTTAAAAAGATAAGTGTGCACACTGGGCATTACTGTGCAAATAATATAAGTCATACTTTGTCTGGCTACACAAAAAGTGCTTCACTTTTTTCACAAAAAGTGCTTCACTTTTTGTCACTAAATTGCAAAAAGAGACTTTTGTCTGATTACTGAAATGTTTTCTCAGTAATCAGGAAGGAAGTTGCATAGCAATAATGGTACAATAATAAGAACATAACATGATGTCTGGCCACAGAATGACAGTAAATATCATTATCATAAAACAACAACATACCAGAGGCAGGGGCGTGTCCAGACTTGTGTGACTGGGGTGGCCAAACTGGGTTTGTGATTATTGATAGAGTAGCATGGAGTGTGTGAGCAGCCACAAATTAATTAATTTCAATTATTTACCCTCTCATCTCTACAAATCATAGCCACTCTTAATCAACAAAAGAGAATGGGAACATATACATCTCCTTAGCTGAATTATTTCAGGACTCAAAAAGAAGATGCATGTCCAAAGTCACAATTTAGGTACTTCAAAAATTCTTCACACTGTCCTGGTTAAACATTTACATTAACTGGCAGTGTTTCGGTAACAAAACATTACTATTCAGTTCAATGGAAGATAGTGTGCAGTATTGTGCTTACAATATTTAACTGACTCATTCCTTTACTATGCACACCTTTTACGAAATAGATGTGCCAAGGAATTATTTCCAATTTAAAGTACTAACAAAAGAAAGAATGCTCTCTTGACATGTAGACTACCAGCCTGCTGCAACACACCCAAATAGTTTAAGTCCTGCCTCTGACAAAGCAAACAGACAATCAGATTTCAAGGTGGGCCCATGCCATCCCTGGCTACCCCCTGGACACTCTCCTGCCTTGAGGTAAATGGGCGACAGATGTGCTTCTTACCTGTTGAGAGATCACCGAGGGTTCAAAGTGCTTTGCACAAAGTCGGTACTGCTTATGCAACTGTTCAGGAGGTTCTGACGCCAAATCCTGTCGCCCAGAGTTGTGTAACCATTGTTTGCAGCTGAAAAGTAGATATGCAGAAAGTAATGAATTGATGGAATAGCATCTGTACATATCAATACAACAGACACCAAACCATAACCCACTTTCAGGTTTATTCCTCAAAGTCCTTTGGGTCTGAAAATAAAGTTTGAAAAGTGCCCCTCTGGTGCTCTTCAGTGTAACGATCAATGTCTAAAATTAGTGAAAAGATCTGAGGGCAGGTACAAAATGGCCACCAAGGTGTCTCCTATAAAGGTTTGCAAGAAGCCACAAGTTCAGTATAGACAAATACTAGATAAATGATCAGTGTAGGTATGTCAAGTCACACAGCAATCACATTTTTGAAGAGACAACCAAACATCATTATAGGTAGCAGTTTGGCTGCCATTTTGTACCTACCCTGGTGAAGGAGACTGTTGCCCGTGATGAAATTACTTTTTTTTATTTATTAACCTCCCCTGTAGGGTAGGGCTGTCACAGTAACCAAAAAAATGAATTACCACGGTATAAACAAGCCAACCGTGCTGAAATACAGCACCGTCATGGCAGCAACAGGTTTAACCATGACAGTTAGTTTTTTTTTTTTTTAAACCTGTACAGTACGGTTTGGCTACAAAGAAAATGATAAAAAAATAAGTAAACGTCACAATCTAAATTATCTTGGGAGGCCAGATATTATTGGTGTCAGGCCAGTTTTTCCCAAAATGTGCTTAATTAAAAAAAAGCACGATGGAGCCACCCTGGTGGAAATTCCTTCACCACGAAAGCCATACATGTGAGAGATTCACTAACTTATTCTAGTTCAATTTATAAGCACTCAAAATATTAAACCATGACTTGACAAACAGGTATGACATCTCAAAAAGTTATGAAACAGCCTTGCAGTTTAACATGGATGTTTAAGTTTATCAAGTGGTCATATTTGCTACAATTACATGGATTTGGCACATCCACTGACACAATTAGGCTGTGGTTAGCTGTATTTAAAACACAACCAGGCCTCAGCACTGCTTATAATAAAAAGAAAGAAAGTTGCAACAGACTGCAGTCATTTGTACAAACAGTCAAATAAGGGGTAGGCTAGGCCTAAGTGCTAGCCTGAACATGAAGACCCTGTGATGTATTACCCTGGAAACAGGCTAACAAGAAGCACTGTGAATGGAAACTGTAGCATACAACATGGTAGATCTACGTTTGGTCAATAAACTCTGGAACACATTACCACCTGAAATAAAATTAATCTCAGACTTAAAATCTTTTACAAAACAGGTGAAATGCTGAAAGCAAGCCAGAGCTGTACCCACTTTGAATTAGTATCTTCAAACTTTATTTTAAACTGGTTTATAACATTTGTATTGTTGTACATGTATTTTAATGTATCCTCATATCGTGTTATGGGGTTTTATGTAACTGAATGTTGTACATTTTAATCTGTTTGTTGACATAAAGGCCCAACTGAGGAAAATTTTTTTATTAGCAAACGCTATATACTCTTTATGCAGCACATCAGTTTCATGCTTTGTATTGAAATTATGTTAAATTGCATTGTCCCTATTAAATGAATAAATTCAATTCAATTTATTAGTCTCTCATCGTGCATGTCTTTTCAAGAAAGAAAGTGGACATAATCAGTAAACTGAAATACAATTGTAACATTTTAAGAAACTCCAGTGAAGATACAATATGTTGACATGTGATGAAACTGGACTACATCTCTAAGTGAAAAGCAGCGCCAATTTGAAGTAACAACCGGAAGAGGGGAGGCGCTAAACCTCTGTTTGTTTATAGGGCCATTACCTCTGTTAATAAGAGGTTAATTACAGTTTTAAAATGTTTACACAATAAGTTGTGATGCAAAATGAATAATTTATTCACCAAGTTTGGCACTCGATGTACATAATAACTCTCAATCGTTGTTTCAAAGGGAGGTAATTTAACGTCGCTAGGCTACGCTCACTCCTGACGTCACACTGTGCAGACGGTAGGTGTCGTGTACCGATGGCGATTTAAATTACAGTAAAAAAGTTTTCAACTATGGTTTCTGGAGGTTATTTGAATGACCAAACACAAAAGATAAACCAATAATGCATGTATCACATGACAGAGTCGCTTCCTGACTGTGAATGACAGAATGTGTTGTATTTCACACGGACTTTTCTTTGCAGAGTAACGATAGTCTGCGCCATTTTCCAGAGTTGTCACTGTTAGCTAACATCATGTTAGGCTAATGCTAACAGTGGGCAGCTAACACGCTCAGTTTGCATGCTAAAGTGGCTATTTTTTCATCGTTATCTCATAGAAATAAGCTCAATTCTCACCGCTCCGGGTCCAAAGGAAAGCTGAAGAGTGGTATGGAGTTCCCTGATTCCCCTCGCTGGTAATCACAGTTCTCTGCAGCGCAGCAGTCAGTCATTTTGAACTGCAATGAAGCTAGCTAGCTAGCCACTTAGCTAGCTGAGCTGGCGGTTGCAAGCCTACTGTGTGCAAACCTGCAGGAGAGTCTACAGAGTCATGCCTCGGGCAAAACCTGCAGTCGACGCACACTTGTTTCAGCGTTTTAGTAACTTATTTTTGTCTTTCTGGCAAACTAAGAACCTACTAATTCCATGCTTTCAAAAGTTGATGTTCCGTGCTGAGCCAAGTCTCGCCGAAAGCGTGTTATCCCAACAACCAGGAACTGGTCCGTGCAGTACCACATGTTCCCCAGCAGAGGGCGCAATGCCACAGCCCGGACCAAAGAGTTCTCATGTCAAGATAAACCACGTCCTCTTTTGTTCTATCACAGACAAAGCAGAGTAGGGTTTTCAGCAGGTTTTCAGGCACAACTTCACCAATTACCAAGGTGCATGGAGAGTGACAGGCTTGAAGAGGTCAAAAAGCTCCAGCAACACTTGGTATGAGGATTCATTTCATTAGACCGACATGTCTGGGCTTGTGGCCTTCATCATGGTAAAGCAGCAAGTGTCAAGGAATCAGAGAATCAGCCGAGAAAGCTAGGCTTAAGGATATTAATGAGGGGAAATGAGGTGTTTTAATATGTCTTACAGACTTTATTATCAGTAGATAGATAGAATCTTTATTTTATTGTATACAAGACACAACGAAACTTCGTTTGCAGCAATCTAAACAGCAGCCTTTACAAAAACAACAACAACAAAAATATATTTGTGGTGATATGAAAGAGAAATATGCAAAAAGTGTCCAGAGCAATTGCTGTTCAGTGAATGAATGATAATAACAACAAATAAATAGACAGTTGTGGAGACTGAAAGAATATATACAATATATATATTTTGCAGTGACTGATTAATTAAACAAATATAAATATAGAGAATAATGCAAATAAGTGAAGTTATAGTGCAGTGAAAGAGTATATACAGTTATTATTGTGCAGTGACTGAATGATGAATAAATAAATAGACAGTTAAAGTTAAAGTGCAGTGACTGAGTAAATAAATAGACAATTATAATTATAATTGCAAACTGCTATGTAGGCTATGCCTTATCCATTGATGCTCCCTCCCTCTGGAAGTCACTCCCAAAAAACTATCAGAGACTCCCCCTCACCCACCACCTTCAAGATCTCCCTAAAAATGACCTCTGCTACATCGCCTACAACCACTAACAACCTCTGTCCTCATCCTCCTTCTTTTACATTATTTCTTCCTTGTATCGTTTTCACTGTTTTATTTTATTGTTATTCTCTGTTAAGCATCTTTAATACTTAGAAAAGCTCTATATAGACTAATGCATTATACATATGATTAATTATGCTGGAATATATTTATATTTGTCAATATATATCTAATGACTTATATACAAAAGATCTCAGTCGGTATGTTTTGCCTACATCATATCTGACATTACACATATAGAAAATAGTGTAAAATAAGTTCTGTTATTATGTAAACCATATAGCTCTGCCATATCCATCTACATGTTTGATAGACTGTTAATTATTAAGTTTTAACTGCAGCTCTTCTCTTGTTCTGACTAGATACTCTCTGATTTGGATTTTCAGCTCT